GTGAATTCCAATCTTCCACAAAAGCTTTCAACCGAATCTCCGTGACGACGAATCGCTCAAGAGAATGAAAGGAAAAACTATTAGAACAAGAAAACCTAGAACTCACAAAGAGATCTAGCTCTCCTACGAACTCACTAAGAGATCGTGGAGGTTTGCACTCACAAAGAGAACATAAGTGATAAATTTTCATTCATCAAAACTCTCCTATTACATAAGAAAAGGGCCATATAAATAAGCCTCAAAATGATAAGAAAGCAAAAGACTAAAATGCCCCTTGGGCTACAATAACGACTAAATACCCATAAGGGCAAAAACGGAAAAACATAAAAATCAAATAAACTACTACATAAAATGACTCAAAATAAAACTCATGATCGTGGCCGTTGATCTCCGGCGTCTCCTGATGGTACATGTGTCGAAATATCTGACGATGTCCTCATCAGCTAATCTTAGAAAGTTGATCAAATTGAAAATTATCTGTAAAAACTAACCGTGAGTTTTAAAGGAATAAGTTGGCTACATAATTATAAAATTTGAAAGGCGATTTTATTGAATATTAGGTAAAGTTTCTTATTAAAGGAGTAATTTAATAGATTCATTATAGTTTAATTGTACTGAATCTTAAGCTAAGTAAAGCTTCAGAGTGAAGCAGGAAGCATGGGCTTGAAATATATTAACCCTCAAGCCAAAAAATTTAAATGGTTTTGGTTTAGCTTTACTTCTTACATTAAAAAAAGTGAGCTTTTAAAACTATGATCCTTATATATTGGTAACTGAATAATATACGGTTCATACTTAGTGCAGAAAGTTCAAAGCATGCATAATTTCTTATTACATTTACATGAACTGAGATATCTTAATGGAGCAAAATTGTCGCTTTCTAACTTCTTAAATGCTTCATAAAGCTTTGTTTTCAGCTAAAATTCGATAGCAGCAGATACACTTTTATAAACCGGTAAATTCCTTATCATTCAATGCATGTTATCTTACCTTCCCATTCTGCTATTCTGCAGATTGATGTGCTTGAAGTTGAAGGAATCTATTATGGTATGGCTTTCTTGAAAATTATTTCTATCATATGAAACTTAAGTGAGTTAAAGTAAAGAAAACAAGGCAAATTGTGGCCTGATAATCAACTAGTACCTGTTATCATATTCATGGAGGGTGGATTGATTATGCCATGCTGCTCTCATAAGAACCTTCATACTCACTTTCCAGCATGTATCGTAGCTAAGAGTGTATATAATTGTATCTTCTCACATTAAATTTTAGAACTAGTTCTTCTGACAACGCTTATAAGTATTCTGTTGATTACTTTAGATGATTGTTTTATGAGAGCATTTGGAAATCGAAAATAATAGAAATGATCGTGAGAGAAATTATTCTGTGCGGACGCCGAACACAGCTCTACCTCCCGAGACCAATCAAAATGAGCCACGTCAGCAGTATTGAGCGCGGTACCGAGCAGTACGGAGCCGTGGTACTGACGTGGCTCATTCTGATTGGTCTCTGGATGGCGTTCGGTGTCCGCACAGAATAATTTCTACTGACAGTTCTGTAGACACTCATGAGCCCAGGGTGGACTAAAAAAGGATTCTGTCTTTTGATACTAAGCCAAAACTTTGCATTAAATCTCTTTGATGTTTAAAGGAATCCTATTGCCATTTCCTTAGTAAAATAACTGAGATGATTAATTATCATCCATTTTTTTCAAGGTCAGCATAAACATGCAGTTATCATACAGCCTTCTTCCTTCCTTCAAATGAATCATTTTCTCAGCTTTATTTTCAGACAGCTGCCAGATATTTAGCTATAACTTTTTTTTTTTTTGGTTTTCAAAAATTTTTGTGGTGAGAAATTATTTCTTACAACCAAATCGGTAGGTGTGATAGCTAGAAGAAAATTGTTCCTTTTTCTTTAAGAAGAAAGTATCTAATAATCACAAAAACTTCCTGTTTTTTTTCCCTTCAGTCATACAATTATTACTCCACGTAGTAGGATAAAGATTTCATGTTGTTGTTGTATCAATGTAGCCATCTCAAATAGGAGAAATTATTACGTGTGGAGTCCGGACGTAGAGTTACGTCCAGACTCCAATAAAAACGTGATATGTGTCCTTGTACTCAGTGTATATAAATTTGTACACACTGTGTACATAGTGTGTATATTATATTATGTATATAAGTTTGTACACACTATGTACATAGTTTTATAATTTGTATATAGTGTATATCATTGTACACACTGTGTACAAGGACGCATATCACATTTTTATTGGAGTATGTACACGTAATAATTTCTTCTCAAATAGACCCCTTTGTGTCATTGAAGCAACCTTGGAGGGCACTTTCTTTGTTGCAGGTTTCTCAGGTTGCCACCGCTTCGAGGCTCACCAACGGTTGGGCCTGCCGACAATCCGCTGCAAAATCCGACGGGGGACGAAGGAAACGTTAAGGTATTTTCTCTAGAGAATTCACTTCAATTTTCTTCCACCACCTTCAGTTTATGAGCAGAGATCTGTATTGTGTCTTGTTTGATTTCAGGCATCATATGCGATGAATCATGACTGAGCGTTGGCTTCTTTCTTTGCCAGTCAAGATTTGAAATTTATGTATGAGAAAGCATCTGCAGTGCTTCCCAACTGCACAAGTATAGCATGCTCTCATATATATGTAAATGTGATGTTGTATTCTATGCTCTTTATAAAATGGATATTGATGCTTATACTATTAATATACTCAAATAGGAGAAATTTTTCTGTGTAGACGTCAGATTGTCTGGAGATGAATTAGAACGCGTCATGTCACCCGTTATATAGCGGTACACAACAAAAAATGATGTGGCGCATTCTTATTCGCCTATGAACAGCATATGTATCCGTAGAGAATAATTTCACCTCAAATAGAGCCTTCTATGAGTTCTTCACATGTCTTGATAGAGCTCTGTATGTTGGATAGAATTGAAGTTTTTATGGAAAAGTTAAAAAAAGTGTGCAAGGATATTCTCATATAAATTATATGAAAATGAGCTTGAAAATAGTTGAATTTATTTTGAAATTAAGGTTTTATATAAAAGATTTTTAATGCACTAATCTTAAAAAGATTTAATGATTTACGAGCTCATCCTAATATAATTTATATCACCCAATTTTATTCTATTGAAAATCATCCAACCCTCAAAAAAATTATCAATTAAGGTGGACCATTGGATTGGATTATTAAATAGAAATAAAAAAAATGATTTTAAATATATGTACTCGAGGCAAAAATTTTTATTAACAATCAAAAATTGCAACTTTATTACTAAGAATTTGTTTAAGATGGTTTTAGGCTTCCTTTGTGTGGCTTTCTAAAGTAATTTTTTAAGTCGAGAAATTTTTTTATTAAAAAGTTGTTTTAAAAAATAGTAATAAGCTTTCTTAAATGAAAATTTTATTTTTATTTTTATTTTTATTTATAAATGTGATTATGAAGATGTTATGTGGAAAATAATTTTTAAAGTTGTTGTAAAATGTATATATTTTTTTTAAATACAACGAGAAGTAGTAGTCAATTAGAAATATATGATCAGAAAAGAAAAAATTCAAAATTGTCTTAACAAATTTTTAATAAGCAGTGCATTCATATGCTTGAGATGCTACGAACTCCATGAGAGCTATTAATGAAGCAATAACTCTTTGAAGAAAATATATTTTACAAGCCTAAGTAGTTAGTTATCTCCAATCAAAGAGTTGAAAAGCAAATAAATAAATAAATGGAAAAGAAATTTAAATAATAATTTAATATTAAAAAATCAAAATAATTATTAGTTTTTTATAAAATATCAAAATAATTTTAATTATATTAAATCTTCATTTTGATTCCTCAATATTCTAAAAAATCATTTTAAAAAATACATAAGATTATTTTGATCCTTCATAGAAAAAATTGAAGAGTAATTTTGATTGTTTTCTCTTAAATATTTATAGAACTTGTTTAGATTTTGCTGTCGAATAACATCAATAACTTGGAGTTCTTTAGGAAACAGTGACGACTTTCCACTTCTCCCCGAGATGCATCGGCAACCGTCCGTCCGGCGGCGCTCGTCCTATGCGCCGCAGCTATGCGTGGCCGGCGCCATCGTTCTCCTCCTCCTCTCTCTCTCGATCCTCCACATGCGTCTATCGTCTTCCCCCCTTGTCCTCTCCTTCCCCTTCCACTCCTCAGCATCCAACCGATCCGCCAACTCCAACTTCAATACCCTCTTTGATGATGTCGCCAACGACGACGTCGATGGAGGCGTCGACGATCGCATCGACGAGCTTGACGTTCTCGACGACGACAAGAAGCTCGTCATCACGGCCGCCGACAACGACGATTCCGATTCTGATGACTCCGAGTTACGCTCCCGCTCCGGATCCGGCCTATTCTGGGACCACGCTTTTGGCGTGGCACGCATTTCATTTGGCCGGACGAAGTCGAGATCCGAGCCGGAGGAGGATTCTCGGAGGGAAGACCAAGCTCGGAGCAAGCTTGCTTTCGGATCGGACGATGAGCCGGTGGATGAGGATGTTAGGGCGAAGCTGGCCTCGATTCGGCGGATAGAGGATGCTCTATTGCTGAAGGTTGATGGGCATGGAGGGAACTCACTGATGCGAGATGGTTGGGCACGGTGGCTCGAGGGCAAGGGCGATTTTATTCGACGGGATCGGATGCTGCGGTCTAATCTTGAGATGCTGAATCCGAAGAACCATCCGTTGCTACAGGATCCTGATGTTGCTGGTCTTACGGGGCTTACTAGGGGTGATCGACTGATGCAGAAGGCGATCTTAAAGGAGATGGATAAGGCGGGTTCGATTGGGTCGGAGATGAAGAGGATTGAGGGAAGGAGGACTTTGCATTTGAAGGTGGAAAGGGAGAAGAAAGAAGAGGGAAATGTTTGGAGGTGGGGTAATTTCCCCGGTATTGATTCGAAGCTTGGTTTTTCTGAGTTCATTGATCAGTTTTTTGTTATTGGTCAGTGCTCTCTGAGGGTTTTCATGGTGTGGAATAGCCCTTCCTGGAGCTTTGGAGTGCGGCACCAAAGGGGGCTAGAGAGCCTTCTGCATCACCACAGAAATGCTTGTGTTCTATTGTTCTCGGAGACTATAGAACTGGATTTCTTCAAGGATTTCGTCAAAGATGGGTAATGTTGCTGTTAATTGCCAAGCCGTTGGTTCTTGTTAAGTTATGTTTAAATTTTATTAATATATGCTGATTCGGTATATTTTAAGGTATAGCTGTTACTGATACGAATAAAAAATGAGATGTGCAACAAAACACCAGAAAAATAAAAAAATTTTGTTTCTCAAGTTTAAATTTAGGCAAATATTAATCTCTTTTGATGCAAATACCATAGTCAATTTATTCTGGAAGTTTTCTTCAAAGCTTGCAAAATATTCAAAGAATCTACATTTGACAGCAAACACAAATATTGAGAGAAAAACATAAATTTTTATTTAATAATTTATTCTAAATTATGTGTCTTAGTTATTACAATAAAAATCTAATTTAATAATTACTCAGAATTCCTGAGATCTGGTCAATTACTCCAATTACCCAATTTAATGAGCCCAAATTAGTAAAAATTCACTATTTTTACATTCAACTTGATAAGAAATAGTAACCCATTCCCTATTTCAGGAAAATTGCATATCGTGTAACTCACAACATTTGTATCACCTCAACACTAAGAAAGTAGAGGATCTCTATCAACGTAATGAAAATTAGATATCCCAAAACAATGAAAACTAGCATTAAGCAACGGACCGCAATTTAGCAGCAATAGAGATTTCAAATCAATGCAATTACCGCCCAAGATATATACTAACTTGGCTATAATATGATGTTAAATTCAGAGAATCGGAGAGGTAAAAGGCTTTCTTTTTATTACACAAAACTATCCCTATTTATAGATATATACATGATATCTTAATAAAGAGATAATAACTATGAAATCATGCATAATTGCCCTAATATAATCCTTCCTAAACCAGCCACCTGAATATGGAAGGAGATTGGCGTGATCCAAGTGAGCCTCCCATGGATCCCCATTCTGATCATAGGGTCAAGAGCCAAGGGTCAATTAGGATGGATGTGATGGTATTTGACAATCCCCCTCAGAATGGAGAATATAGATATGTCATTTCCAGTTTGGTAATCAGTCCCAGAAAGGCAGAGTTATATTAAGCAGGACAACAATAAAGACTGCGTTTGTTATAGATAGGATAACTCCAATAAGGGAAGGTCGACAATGAAGGCACGGTAGTAGAAAGGAAAAAAATATATTTTTTTAGGGTTGCCACAAGCTTCAAGGGACAATAGCAAAAAAATCACTATGTTTACAATGTTTAATTTGTTCATACAATTGATCACTATACTCCTCCAAAGACATTGCTCTTTATGTTTATGTTTTAAGCCAATTTATATAGGTTTTGTTTCACTTGCAATAATTCATTACAAAGAGTAATCATGGCACATTGACTTTTATTTAGCTTATTGAAGTCTTTTAGAATCAACTTAATGGTAATATTTAAAAAAGTATTTTAAAGTATCAATCATTTTAAAAATTCTTTAAGATTATACCCCCTGTTTTTTTTCCGTATTATACCTTTTTGTTTGCTTTTCTTATTTGTTTAATACTTACATGTACACTCACAAATTTGATTGTGCAACCAATCTACATTTCTTACTCACACACTTGAGCTTTAATTATTAATTGATTAGTTCCTTTCTTGTGCTGTAAGAAGGTTGAAAAGGTTAAATTACCCTCCAAACTGTTACTCTGCACTTATTTTACTTCAAAAAAAGCATCACTTTAGTAGTAATGAACCTATCGCTTATCTTGCTTGCATTTCTAATTTTATCTTTTAACTTTCTTCACTATTATCCATACTCAATCCCCATTGTTAGCTTTTAACTTTCTTCACTTGCAATACTTCATTACAAAGAGTAAGCATGGCACATTGACTTTTATTTAGCTTATTGAAGTCTTTTAGAATCAGCTTAATGGTAATATTTAAAAAAGTATTTTAAAGTATCAATCATTTTTAAAATTCTTTAAGATTATGCCTCCCAGTAAGTGAAAGAATATAATTTTGACTTGCATGATAGTAATGATTTATACATTCATAACCACTTACCCTATTCTGCTTAAATTGCATCATTAATTTATGTAATTTGTTTGACCTAGTCCTATTTCATGTCCTATTTCTAGTCGAGAATTCGAGATGATAAAGCAGTTATAAGCAACAATACTAATTTGATGCAGGACGTCTTAGCTCTTGGGCTCACTAATGCAAGAGGATGAGACCCACAAAGATACATTCAAAAGATCAAAATTCATTGTTTTTCAAATTTTAATGTTGGCAAAGATTTATCTATTTTAATGTAAAACTTAGAAAATACACTTAATCTGTTCCAAATATTAATACAAAATTCATCAAAAATTAAACATTTAATGGGGAAAAAAATTCCATTGGGATTAAGATTTGCATCGCAAAACTGGAAATCGATGTATAACAAAAACAAATTATAGAACACATCCCATTCTTAGGGATAACAACGTCAGATGCAACTAAAAACTAACTAGAAAGCAAAAAAGTAAGACAAACAACTAAAACAATATTATTGCACATGATATGTGTTTCCAATGAAAAAAAAAATTCAGATTCTCATTACCAGCTTTTTATTTCTACTAATGAAATTTGTATTCAGTACAATGCGTAGTTAGTGATGATTTTGATTAATTATTCAGTGTGTGTGGAAGACGTTGAAGATGAGAGAGCTGCTTAATAAACTTTACAAGAAATGTCAAATGTGCGCACGCTAGCCTGCCTGGGGTCATTGATAACCCCTCATTATCTTATTCAGATCAAAGCTGAAAAAATAAGAACTTTTGGCCTATTTGTTGCACTATCTTTATATTTAATGATAAAAAAAATAATATAGTAGTAACAGGAAATGTATTGTGAGTACAATCATGAAATGATTGTTTATGATATAAATGCGCATCTTTGTGCGTTTGAAACTTTTTTTCTAAGCACAGCTTTCTTTTTCAGATTCAGAATTGCTGTTGTCATGCCAAATCTTGATGAATTACTTAAGGATACTCCAGCTCATGTTTTTGCATCTGCTTGGTTTGAATGGAGAAAGACAAAGTATTATCCCCTTCACTACAGTGAGCTAGTACGTCTTGCTGCCCTCTACAAGTAAGCTTCCTATTTATGTAATGTGGTTCTTCTTTTTCTAAGTTGATGCTAATGTGTTCTTTGTTGAGCTCATTTTTTAAATGGAAAATTATATTTTTTTTACATTTATGCATATCTGACTTTCCCCTGTAAACGCAGGTATGGTGGGGTCTATCTTGATTCTGATCTTATTGTTTTGAAGCCACTATATTCACTCAGGAATTCTGTTTGTGTTGACGATCAAAGGGGTGGAGATTCTACTTACAGTGGTGCAGTTATGGCATTTGAAAGACACAGGTTACTTCAATTGGCTTTCCTTTGAATATTATAAAATATTTTAGCCATGTGCATTCTCCTGCTGCATATTATGATATTCTTTTATGTAAACTTGTTTCTTCTCAAAAGATGTGTATATATTGTGTTGGTTTTATGGATGTGCTTCCTTTTCTTTTCTCTTTTTTCCTTAACTAAATTATGCATTTTGTGATTATGGTTTTATTTGACTGCTTCAGTTGGTTCTTACTAAGGTCGCAATTCATAGTTTTCTTCAACTGATATGTTTTAGAAGTCTTTACGTATGTTTCCCCCCCGCCCCCCCCCCCTGTTTTTTTTCCCCTTCTTATACTTTTTTGTTTTCTTTTCTTATTTGTTTAATACTTACATGTACACTCACAAATTTGATTGTGCTACCAGTCTACATTTCTTACTCACACACTTGAGCTTTAATTATTAATTGATTAGTTCCTTTCTGGTGCTGTAAAAAGGTTGAAAAAGTTAAATTACCTTCCAAACTATTACTCTGCACTTATTTTACTTCAAAAAAAGCATCACTTTAGTAGTAATCAACCTATCGCTTATCTTACTTACATTTCTAATTTTATCTTTCAACTTTCTTCACTATTATCCATATTCAATCCCCATTGTTAGCACATGCCTCAACTGAATTCCTGATATAATCAGTTTGCTTAGATACTATAAAATAGCTTTGCTATACCTGATTTTGAGATTCTAAAGCAGGTTACTCATCTCTGATTCCTCAGTTACTAGAACTTTCCCTTATGCTGTTAAACTATTTGTTCAAGGCTAGCTAGGAACGAATATTTTCAGTACTGCTATCTGCCCATGTTTCAACATGCTCACATTTCCCCAAATCCTACTTACCCTTTGCTTGCATTGAAAAATAATGTGATGTTATGCTACACAGATCAAATTAGGTGAGTCATACTAATTGAGTGTGACTTTATGCTTAATGTCAAACATCATCCATATGAACATATAAACTATACGTTTTTTATTATTTTATATTTAATATTAATCTATTTAAATTATAAATTTTAAAAAAAACTTCAAAACTCTTTAAGCCCGGATGAAAAAAGTTGATTTTTTTTTTTTTGAAAAGATAAATTTAGGCCTTCGCTAAAAAATTTTTTTTGCTCCACCACTGGATGGCTTGCTCAAAATTGACTCAATTCAACTTGAAATCAATTTAGATCATATAAAAATACACATTTATCTGTGTCTTTTCACTGGTATATACAAATTCATCAAAATACCATAAGTATACAATATATAAATATATTTATTTTTGCTACCAACATGCACATTTATGTTATTGTATAACATTAATAAAAATTAATTACAAAAATATATATTTACATGAACATAATTCATTCAAGATTTTAGAAAACATCAAAATATAATTTTTTAATTAGCAAACCTGGAAATCAACTTAAAATCAATCATTTTATTTATTTATTTTAGCTTGAATCAAAATTAAATTTTCAATTTTGAATTGAGACTTTCTTGCTAGAACATGGCTCAATTCCATCCCTAATCTATGGATTTATCCATCCAAAGTATCTACTCCATTTAGAAAATCCATTTTTAGTTTTTGGTTAGTCAAACTTACCCAATTTTCAGTGCAATTGGTTTGAGTTGTGATGTGTGACTTGTGTATGACATTATAAACAACTCTTGCTTGCACTACAATTGGGTTAATTTGTGTTGTGCAAGTTATGGATGACATCTGACCACTCCTGCAACTCACCACTATAATTTCAGGTCAGGGCAAGTCACTCCTGGATATCACCCTAGCATAACCAATCATCAAAGTAGGATTTACTTCATAGGTTTTGTCATAGTTTTTATGTTGACTGTTAACTTAACATTAAACTGCCAACCTTTCTCATCTAGGCTTGAGAGTTGCAACTATGATTTTAAGTAGTCAGCGCCACCATTGAATATTGAATTAGATTCTAGCAATTGTACTGTGGTGTCTCCTGTTTCATATTCTCCAAGAAGCAGAATTTTAATTCTTAGTTTCTATCATTCAAAACCGTTTAATTGTCTGTTCTTGTTTGCTTTCTTCAGTTATTGAGAATACTCAAACTATTAGGCGTTGGCTTTAGATGTTTGTCATGTAAATTTAAATAAATTTTTATTGAAATACTTCAGCGGATGATTGACACTTCGATAACCTGGGTGAAACCTCCTAATGAAAATTATGCTAGATCAAACTCCATTGTTCATGATTTCCTTGTGACCCATTTTGTTGTAACTGTGTTATCTTGATATCTATAGTGGTAATATGGGCTATTTGCTATTCTTTCATAAAAAATGCCCCTCCTTATCGTTAGCTTTTTCACCAAAATATTCTCCCAAAACTCAGGCATATCAGCCAAGCAAAAGTATTATATAAATCTAAAATTATGCTTCAAATGTTAGTAAAATGATGATAGTTTTATAAAGGAGATGTTTTTGGCAAACTGTCTGGTAAAATGATCTGCAAGCACAATATATGAAGTTATTCTTTGAACAACTTAGATATGTCATTTTATTATGAATCATCTGATTTAGAAAAATGACTTGAAATCCATTGTTACCACCTTCGTTATTTTATTTAATAACACCAGATTCTGATGCTTTGTTATTGTTAAATTATATGTAAAGTCATTTCTTCCGTTCTTTTTGCGAGAGGTCTGTTTTGATTATGTTGGCAATTTTGATGTCATACTAGCATTTTTGGTGATAATAATGACTTCTGCTAAACAGTCATTTCTGTTTCCTTTCTCGCTATCATGATGAACCAATTTAAGCTTTCCATGTCCTTACTGACATTAAGTTCATATTCTTCAGTCCTTTCGTGAAGGAATGCTTAACAGAGTTCTTCTCAACATATGATGATACCCTCTTGACATGGAATGGAGCTAATCTGCTAACTAGAGTGATTAAAAGGCTTCAGAGGAAAGGTGACAAATACTGGGAAGAGCTTCGAATAAATTTAATCTCAACCCATTCAATCTTCCCAATAAGTTCAATGGACATAACAAGGTGAGATACGAAAACCTATTTCTTATTTTAGTTTGGGCATAAACTCACATGAAATGGAAAGAGTTGTCTAACTTGTTCTAATATGATCATCTTCATCATTAGTTTTATTTCAATAATATAGAGATGGCTTTATAATCAGTATAAACCTGATTCTTCATTTATTTTTATTGATTGCTGCATGAGTTGTTAACTCTATTTTATGCCATTATTTTTTCACAACTTCAAGCCTTTTTTTCTTTAGTCTTCGACTTTTATCTAATACTTTCAATCGTGTTTTTCACAAATTTGTTGGTGCATCTTTTATGTCCTTCATTGTGTATGCCCAAACCATCTAAATTAATTCCACAATCTAATTTTAAATAGGTTTTACTCTTGCCGATATAATTATTTATTATTCCCTATTTCTTTCTTTATATATTCATCTTAGCATTCTCTTTTGTGGCGCACTCAACGTTTTTATTAGTGACTTCTTTATGGCCTGAGATTTATCAGTATTTTATAATCTATCTAATTATAATTTTATAATTTTTTTTTCTTTCAAATCCTCATAATTTTCTCATTCATATATACTGTTGAGTAATGTCTCTATTTTTAACAAACCAGTTTTAAAGAAATATCTTAACTAAAATGCCAGCTTGCAAAGCTAACCAGGGCTTGAGGTTGGTCAAAAAATGAGATTGGGATCGTGTAAAAGAGGGTGGGAAGAGAAGGGGGATGACAATTCATAAGTGTTTTTGCGTTGCAAGTGGAGAAATAGTAAACATTTACATTGTTCTTTATTACTAACAAAAATGAAAATTAACTTTTCTTCTAAGCTCGTTAGTTAAAGATCTTCATATGCTTTCACTTTCCTATATTGTTAGAGGTGCTCTCATTCCAGGGTCATCATTTGTTCCTCCTTTCTCCTAAATGGAATGCTCTAATAAGTGGTTAGATCCCAAAATAATATTCCAAATTTCCAATGAGCATTTCCATATTTTTCCACTGATATGTGTCACACATAATCTCATGCTTTCATTTGTTTCACCTATATCTAATTCATTACTTTCATCCGTATTTGAATCTATGAATTATACAGGTACTTTGCAGTGGCATCAGAAGAGCCTGAAAGAGTCTATCATGAACAACTTTTCAGAAGGATTCTGGATGAATCATATACCTTCCATTTCTGGAATGGCATAACATCTGCGCTTGTGCCAGAGCTGGGTAGTCTCACAGACAAACTGTTAAATGAGTACTGCCTCCGTTGCCTTGATATTTTGTGATCTACATAGGAATGGGGATAACGTTGGTAGGAGAAAAGTCTGTTCATTCAAACAGAAGAAGCTTGATAATGTAGAGATAATTATGATTTCCACTTTTCCAGTCTATTGAAGGAAGATTTATGTTTTTAATTAAGCTCATTATTGTTTACTGGCACAGTTGATCATTAATCTGAGTCAGATCCAAGTGAAAGCATTTTAAATCACAGTGGAAGCAGGTGACTTTCTGATTGTAAACAAAGTAACGATGCAGCTGTACCTTTTTGGCGGTGAATGCAATTCAAATCTCTTGGGCTCTTGCTATTATTTTCTACATAATTTTCTAGGAGTGGTGAAAAGTACCTGAATCTTACCCTGTGGACTTCCATCCCATCATGATAGCATATGTCCATTATTGTGAAGAAATTTGAGGGTGAGGGCCTTGTGGTGAGAATTTTTTTTTTAAATGATTGAATTGTTGTTTGAGTTGTACTTTGCTTCAAGGTTCCAGTTTTAATTTGTTCGCAATGTGTCCATTTAAGAAATTTTGAGTTTCTTATGAATCTTAGCGGTTACTTTTACCATTTAAACCTTGGTACCCTCTTTTTGATGCATGGACTGAGCAAGCCATTAAAATAATATTGTCACTTTCTAATTTATTATGGCTATACTGCAAGGTGTTTGATCATGGAGATGGAATGCTGAATTTTCAGGCTGCTTGCAGGCATCATTCGGATTAAAGAAGCTATGTGAAATGGCAGCGTAGTTCATCTTACAGAAGAGACTGAAGATGTCATGGAAGCTGGGAAAATGTGAAAAGTTGAAGAAACTCTTGCATGGGAGAAACCATGAATGGCATTGGCAATCAAAGGTGAAATAACCTATGCTCTTGAGCTAATAGATTCTTCATTTTTCTATTTTATTAGTTTAAACACCTTACAATGTTGTGGTCATCTATTTTGTTCTTTACTAAGAAAAATTTGCAGTGTCTGTTATTCTGATACACCAAGCTTCTCAAGGGTTTGTGCTTAACCAGTTCTTCTCGTAATTCTTTTCTAGATTACCTTATTTCTGCATTACATAAGCAAAAATTTGATATGCCTCATTATGGATTTATTTATTTAGTTTTTTTTTTATGGTATGTCTTCACTCGATAGAGATGGAGGAACCTGTTGCCATATGTTCAGTTTTGAGCTAACCCATCAGAGTTTTTGCCAGAACTTAGAATAAAATAAACTAATTCCACGTGTACCATAAGTGGCTTTTTTTTGTCTCTGATATGATATTAAGTATATACAATATGACCTCTAATTTTACTTTAAGAACACATATCTTGTTAGCTTAATAGTAATGAGCATAAAACACAATGGCAAGAAATTAAAATCAATAAATGCGCGAACACAACACAAAATTTACATGGTTTAGTGAGATTAGCCTACATCCATGATTGGTGAGTGCCAACTATTCCCGTTGATAAGAGTTTTGAAAGTTATTGCTAAGATCTTATATTCAATTCTTGTTCATGCTGTAATAATTTCCATCCTTTGAGGTAATAATATATACACAGTTACAAACACACGCAACAACAACAATGATATCAGGCCTTTATCCCACTACGTGGGGTTGATTAAATGAATCATATTTCTCCATTGTGTCTTGTTAATAGTCAAATTCTCATTTAAATCTAATAAAGAAATGTCTTTTATAATATTTTCTAACCAATTCTTTTTAGATTTACTTCTACCTTTTTTAACATAGGCCAAATCTAATACATCTATTCTGCTAACAGGATCATCAGAAGGCTGCCGTTTTACATGAACAAACCATCTAAGGAGCCTCTATCTATTCTTATCTATCACCCGAGCTACTCCAATCTTATCATGGATATGCTCATTTCGTACCCTGTCTCTAAGAGTAAATCCACTCATCCCACCTGAGCGTCCTCATATTAGCAACACTTAACTTAATATTATTCTTCTCTTTTAATGGCCAACATTTTGTATAAAGCATTATAGGTCTCACCACAATCTTATAAAATTTTCCCTTTAGTTTGAGTGGTACTTTTCTATCACACAACAAACCCGAAACATTTCTCTTGAATTCTACTAATAATATCTCAATCTATTTCACCATCACTATGAACAATAGACCCAAGCATTGCAGATCTAAAAATCAGCAAGAATTTGGCTCCACAATATCAACAATCTTCCAGCTGAAGATAAATTTTTTAATGCACCCATTAAGGGTCATGTATGAACACTTGTCCGTGTGCATCTCCTTTCACTGTTACGAACATTAATTGAGGCTACTTTGGGCCTTAGTTTACTGAGCTTAATTGCAAGATGTTTTCGCTTGTTTGATTTTGATTAACTACAAAGCACTATTTTCATCTAATTATGAATGAAGTGGCACTTCATTTATATATGCTTTGCTTTGGACTTGGAAGACAGCATCATGTTATGAGCCAATTGCTCTTTGGCTATCTTAGAAAAGTGTGGCATCCTCCTATGTTCTTCCAAGTTTTTTCTTTAAAATTTTTAAGTCAAACTATTCCCTTACTGCCTTTAGTATCTAGTACATATTTCACTCATGTTGTTATAGTGCTATTATTAGTTACTAAAGTTGTGACAACTAGCTAATTATGGCGCAACCCAAAATATAGATGTATATTATGGCACTTCTTCATATGTTTTTAAATCCCTCACCCCCGTCCACGTCATCATAGACCTAGAATTTTAGGTCAACTTTTCAAAATTATACCGAGTGATTTACTACACCTTTCAAGTAGCGAGGATTCGCTTCAAAGCTTATCAGTGTTCCTTTCTTGGATTTAGTATGTACCAGCAATTAGCAGGTAGTCAACATATAAAAGCAAGATAATAGCTTTTTATTTTTTCAATACTTGTTATTTGATATCAGTAGTTTGCATTGCATTATGAAAATCAAATTTGTGCATGAAGCCATCAAATTTTTCATGCTATTAGCTATAAGGTTTACTGCAAGCTGTGAAGCTGTAAAGGTTTTTGTAAAGCTCACAATTTATGCTTCTTTTTTTATACAATGAAGCCTTCTAACTGAATCATATAAATATTTTTTCTTTAAATCACCAACAACAACATCAATAAGAACACAAACCTTTATCCCACAATAAGGGATCAGTTGCAGGATTTTTTTTTTATTTTAATTATATCCTATTAAGAGTCAAATTCTCATTTAAATCATCATGAAAAGAAAAATTAGTTTTAACAACCATCTGCTTAAGGTGTAAGTTTTCTGTAGCTAACAGCCTAAGATGTTCAAAACAAATTATACAGTTGTTATAACTAAATGAGAAATAATTTCAATGAAGCGAGTACTTTCCTTTTGCTGGAACTCTTACAGCTAACCTCGCATTTTTTATTTTTTTCATTTTGTTTTTCTTTAACTTAATAAATCTTTTTTTTGTACATTATTTCTTGTATATGAACAGTTTAATCAATGTCCAATTTTTTTTTTAATAGAGAAAATACATCCATTCTCTCATTGCGAACTGTCAGGCTTCGTTTGGGTTAGCCTTTGGTCATTATTTTTAAGAAATTTTTGTACTAGAAAGTTGCTTTAAAAAGCAGTAAAGAAACTTTTCCAACCAAAACTTTAGTTAGACGAATATTTAACATATACAGTTTCTTAATTCATAACATTTGCGTTTTCCTATATTAATAAGAAGCAAATAGTATAAATAAGGAGAATAATATTTAGCATGTTTTCACACGTCTCAGGTGATTAAAAGTCTTCATTTGAAATGAGGTATTTGTCTTCATTTAGCTTCTATTTGTTTGATTCAAAGCTATTGTTGATTGTTCATACCATGTTCTGACTTCCAAGTAATGACCAAGCAAATTTAAGACATGAATTTCATCATTAAAGTTGGTGTTTACATAGCTCAGCTGACTTATGCTCGAGTTAAGCTCATTTATTTACTAAGTAAAAGAGTATCTCTTAGAAACCAGAAGATTAAAAAATTTGTGCATAAAATTTGATCTCTTAAAAGGTCGGAGAAAATTTTTTAATGAAGATAATATTCATTTTGTATATTTCAATTGTTGAAATCACACCCATCAAATTTGTCAATTTGAAACTTTCATCTTTGATTGCTCAAATTTTCATTCATCTACTCATTTACAATTGATTGTAATCTGTGTTTAGCTTCTAATTAAAAAAATATTTTAGGATAGCTTTCTATCATTTACGATTCGTTTGGGACAACTTTTTTGCTGCGTTCTAAAACAGTTTTTTAGTACAAAAATTTTTTGAATTAGATTTTTTTTTGCTATAAAGTTTAAATAAAATCATATAGTATTGAATCCAATAGAGTGTTTTATAGTGATTCACAAGCAGATAGATAAGCATGCAGAATTTACTTACTAGCTTCTTTGCAGGTAGTCAATATAACAATTCCACAACAGTATTCACTATATCACTTCATTCAAATTACACTAATGATCTCCTTTGGCTACTTATCTAAAAGCTGTGGTTAGTTCTCCATTGAAGGTGTCAATCTCCATAGGTTTCAACATTTGGCCACCCTCTTTCAGCTTGTAATTTCACAAACTCAGCAAGCTGCTTGATCTCTTCCTCTTCAAGCCGAGGCCCGAATGTGCATTGCCCTCTTGGTGTGCATTTCTCCCCAAAACCCTAAATACATACACGTCGAACTGGTTAGAACGAACTTATCTCAACTTGAAATTGAAAATTTTGATATCTACTGGAGCCAATTTAAGCCCGAAATCAAACTTGGTTCGAGTCACAAAACTCGAATTCATTTGATTTCGAGTTCACTCAAAATCACCATTATATCATAGACTTTGAGCAAATTTGAATTGTATTTGAGCGGGTTGGAACAAAGATTGATTTCGTGTGAAGAGTAGAGCTTGAAATCATTAAAAAGTCGAGCGATTTTTTAGTTCTGATTAATTTTTAAGCGCCCTAAGGGTCTGTTTTGAAATAGCTGCAATATTTTATAAAGTTGATTGTGAATAAAACAAGTTCTCTACTATAATTGCAGAATTCTCAAATGAAATTTATGATTGTTATCTAAAAAATAAAGCAAACAGAAAACTGACTCAAATAGACCCTAATTTTGTTCATTCTTTTCTACTCATTTCTACTTGAAATGCTTCATTCATGAATGGTACTTAACTGGCATTCTTCCTTTGCCATAATATGTAATGTTGTTTATCTCCTCTTCTGTTACCAATCCATTCCTGCATGCAAATAAAGGGGGTTTTAGACACTTTTTTTCTTTCTAGTAATGCACTCTGATCCTATATTTATTTGAATTGTAGTAAGCTTAAATTATTGTAAATTAAGATAAATTATTATTGTTATCTTATTGATTTATTGTTAATTTATTGTTATTTAAAAATAAAATAAAAATAAATGTAACTATATAAGCTCCTCACCTGTATGAAGAGGAGCTTTAAGGTTGCAACTTATTCAGTATCTGTTTAATTGAGTTATGCTTGTTTAAGTTTTATTGAGCTCGAGCTCATATCATTAAAAAATTATTAGGTTCGAGCTCTTATTTGGAAAGCTCGAGCTTAATTGAAAAAATAATTAAAAATATTCAGTGTATATTTTATTATATTATTTTGAAATACAATTCTATTTAAACGAGCATCTTGACAAGCTAACGAGTTGAGTCAGATAAAGCTCGAGCTCGAACTCATGACTCGATAAATTTGTCGCATGAGCTCATTAACAAATCAAGTTCGATCTAGCTCGCGAGCTCTCGAGCTGAATCGGCTCAATTGCACCCTTAGATAGTTAGATGTGAGTATCATTTGAAGGAATGATTCCCACTTTTGAACATGAGATTCAATTTCTTTCAAATATTTATAGTAAAAGAAAAAGGATGATGATATGATTGCTACCTTTGAAGATCTTTCATAAAAAGAGTGGCACCCTACAATGCAAAATAAATATTTAAGAATATCAATGAAATATGCATTTGTAAAAATTAAAAATATATATATTTATTTTGAATTTATTTTTGAAAAATTGGTGAGTTTGAGAAGGCTAACTGGTTGGAGGATGTTTCCTCCCATATCATGGCAGCCAATGCAGGCCTTCTGAAATAGTGCTGATCCCTTTGGAAATTCTGGCTGGGAAAATGAGGCTGCATTAATGGCAATGCCAAATAATAAGTATTTTTTTTCTCTATTTTTATACTTAGCAAGCAATCAAAATTTATTTCAAAAGTAAGATTCAATTGTTTTCAATCACTTATCTACCAATATATTAAACCTAAAAGCATTACATTTGAAAATCATGCTTCTAATAGAACATCTCTAGCAACTTCTATGTCATGCAGTCAATTTTATTTATTTATATAATAAGCTAAGATAGATTGTACAATGTACTCTAAATTAATATTGCTTGGGTGCTTAGCCTGGCTACCAGCTAGAATATCTTGAATTCGAGGTTTATAGATATTTAGGGGTGTCAAAATGGGTTTTTGACTCGGGTTCAGATCCAACCCGAAATTGAATCATCTTCTACTAATCCAACTCGAACCAGACCGATTAGACAAACGGGTCAGATGTTTGGATCAAACCTGACCCATTAACCCGCTTGTGCGAGCAACAGTAAAGCGTTGAGGCGAGTGGAGGTGTGGGCGGGACTGCATGACTTTCGGCTAGGGCGGGATAGCGCGGTGTGGGACTACGTGAGCTAGCGAGGGCAAGGCATCAAGCGGGTGAGGGGGCGAGTGGCGTGACTATGCGAGCACAAGTATGAGTGTGATCCTAGTGCTAGCTGAAGTATGGGATTGTGGCTTGTGGGATGCTAGGATGGGGTAGGTGAGCTAAGAGAGTGACGCGATGAACAAGGCGAGTCAAATTCGGGTCATTTTTGGGTTAGCTGGTTGATTCGGACATGATGCAATTTTTTAAACAAGTTAGGAATTATGACTCAAACTTGACTCGTTTGTTAAACAGATCAACCCGAATTTGAATTTTCTCAGTCGGGTTTTTGTGTCATGTCATTAATTGTCACCCTTAATAGATATGATGCGTGTGAGTTTACAAGTTGATTTGCAGATTGTACAACCTAAAGGAACTATTCAAAATTTTAAATAACATATTTTAAACATTATATTCCACTTATGTACATAAATTTTTTGTCAAAAAATATTATGAAAACCCTTCCATGCACAAATTATACAATGACAAAAATCTATAAATGAAATAATTTAGGGGTTGTCTTATGAGACAAAATAGGTCTTTTGTATTCTATTTGTATCTATTTCATTTTTTTAAAATATTTGATTGGAAGAAAGCTAAAATTTTGTAAAATATTAGAAATATGTTTTCTATTTTAAAGCCACCTAATGATGCCCCTCTAGACTTATATTTTAATTATTTTGTTTATAATACTCTACATGTCATCAAATCATGCATAAAAAATAATTTCACAATATTATTTTACAAAGCAATTATATAAAGAAACAATTAATATTTTACTAGCAATTATATTAATATTTCCTATCAAATAGTCTCATAGAGTGCATCAAAATCATAGGACATAATGGTAAATAATACACACTATTTGCCTACATCTCCTACAAGGCATGATAGGGAGAGAATAACTTCAATTATTAAATAATATATTTAATATTTATAATAAACTAAGACCTAATCAATTGACTTACATTGTAACCTATCAATTTGACCCCAAATCAAAATTGGGTGAATAAAATAATCATAATATATAAATATAGTGTTTATGTGATATATTATAGAATTTTATCATTGGAATCCGACGATTAACTCATTTTGACACCCATAATTTCAAATATTATAAAGAGCAAAAAAAAAATCGGCTTAATCTTATTGAGTTGTTTTAACTTTCTATAAATTCTATTATGATTTGGCTCAATAGAAAATTAATCAAAATTTTATTTTATTAGAAAATTAATCAAAATTTTATTTTATTATTACTTGTTTTTTTTTTACTATATCATTTTTATCTTTAGTCATATTTATATTAAAATTAATCATAATTATTTAGTAGCATTATATTAACAAATGAGTAAGTTTAGTCATATGAGCAACAGTCAAAATTCTTTAAAAATATATATATATACGATTGGGAGCTACTTGAGGGATATAATAAAATTTTTGGGTATTTATATAATTTATATCTAATTTTTTATATTAATTTATATATATATTAGTCATATTTTTATTTTAAATATGATATTATTAAATATAAAAATTTTGATGTTCTATATAATATATCATAAATAAATTATAATATATTATGTAAATCCTCTAATTTAATAATATGAAATTGTATAACTTCTATGAGATAGAGTTTTAAGAATATCTAATAAAGTTTTTGAAGTATTTTGGCTTAATTAAAGCCTTATTTTATTAAATTTTTTTTTTTACTTTAGGTTTAATGGATTATAAAAAATAATAATATTTTGATCACCATAAATATCTATCCTTCTCCACAAATAAAATGCTCATAAAATTTAAAATATTTGTGCATACAATATAGTAAATTTAAAAAATGTATTTAATATAAATAAAATTACTTTTAAATTTTGATCTAAATAAAAACAAATTCCAGAAAAACTTAACTTATTGTCCAAATCAAGCGAGCGAAACACAATTGGAAGGTTCAAAGCATAAATTTGATGAGCAAAAGATAGCCAAATATAGCAAGCTTATAGTTTAATTGATCAGCTCAACAAGACGAATCCAGCAAGCCTAAAAATGTTTAATTCTGAAATCATTTAGGCACATATCAGCTTGATAGAACGCTCTATAATTGAGGGGATAAGTATGGGTCGTCCAATGGAGCACTTCGAACCTTCTCTGGTCTTCTTTATATTTACAAGCATGTCAATCTCAAAATCTATAAATAGGTTCATGCTCTCTTCATGAAGGGGCTTGGACCTTTAGGTTGTAGATTTGAGAGAGCTTTGAAGTTTCAAATATCCTAAAGTTTTTCCCATGCACCACCACTAGCAAACATTCATCAGAACACCACCCTTTCACTGATTATCGTCGAACCACCACCCGGCCGACCTCCATCACCCACTGACCTCCATGGCACACAGACTACGGTCCCTCCAACCTCTGTCATCCGCCAACCAAGGTCACTTTAACCTTCATCGCCAATCGACCACTATCCCTTTGACCTCCATTGTATGTCAACCACAGCCCCTTGGACCTCTATCACCCATCGACCATGGTCCCTTCGACCTCCGTGGCCCGTCAACTATGATCCCTCAAACCTTCATAGCCCACCGACTACGGTCCCTTTGATCACTGTCGTACATTCACTACGATCCCTTCGATTCCCGTTGCGCGCCTACTAGGTCCCTTCGACCTCCATCACCCGCCAACTATGACCTCTGTCACCTGCCGACTACGGTCTC